TGCCACCCATTTCATAATTTTAACTAAAAATACCACCCCTTTCTAATTTTTTTACAACTACCACCTATAAATATAAAATTATTGTCCACTTATTGTACCCGTATTAGTTTTTCAGAAATTGGCTTCTCTCTCTAACTCTCTTCGCTCTATCTCTTCGGCCTGTCTCTCTCCCTCGTGTACCTCTCTCTCTTCGACACAATCGTCTTTCTCCCTCAACAGTGGCTGTTCATCCAAGCGTAACTTCATCGTTGACATCCACGAGGTACTGTTCATAAACCTTTTCTTTGAAATTTGGGGTTTTTGTGAATTTGGTTTATGGTGTATGGATTTGTAAGAAATTGGTTTAGGGTTTTAGTGTTTAGGGGTTGCTCAGAAATTGGGTTTAGGTTTATGGGTCTTTGTTACAGAGGTAGATTTTTTTTGTGCCCAGAAGATTGTGACTTTGATGAAAATTCGTAAATGGAAAAGGCAGCTGCCCCTGCGGCTTGGAACCCCTTTAAAATTACATGTGTTCTTTATAAATTAAATAATAATTTTGGTTTTCAATTTTTTAAACTCAAACAATCTAGTTTTTTCTATTTCAGTTTCTTTTGCAACAAATGATGTATCTTGTTAGTGTCTGTACCATATTTGGAAAATGGGCCAAATATGGTTTTATTTCTTAAATAAGATTATGTTAGACCCTAGCCCAACCTCTTTCTTTTAAAAACAACAAAAAGGGCTTTTTTGGAGTTGGGCCAGCAATGTGCAAAACCTTCTTAAAAGCCCATATTATGAAAAGCTCCTAGCTTTGGTCCATACTAAAGTTAAGAAAATAGGTAACCGTTACCCATTGACCCACGTGAAGGTCGAGAAATGGATTATTGCCATTAATAATGACTTGACGCTGTCTCTCTCAGCAAGAAAATAGGCTGGATAATGGACACGAGAACCAAAAAGAACCGTTTCCCTACTGGATTTCCAAATGCGAAAGGACACAAATCAAATGAGCATCCCTTGAGACCAGTAGTTTTATCCAAGATATCCTTTCCTCCTACCTACGGATCGGCTCACAAGGGCATATCAATAGCTGACTTTGGACAACATCCAAATATCCTCCTCCACATTTCATTATTAGGGATTCTTGCCTATAAATATAAAGGCTTTACAGCAGCAGAAAGGGACTCTCTCTCCAAAATCAGACGCAACATCTTGGAAACACTTGAACAAACTTCAAGATTTTTTCAAATAACCAATTTATTGTTCAGATAACCAGTTGACAACTTTTGCGTTTATCTTTTATTGCTCTGCCATCTTCATGGTATGATTCTTGTTGAAACAACTAGTTTGAGTTTTTATAAGCATATTTATGTGTGAATTGGATAGAGAAATCTCCAATTTCTTATATATTGTAATTTATCTTTAAAAGCAGCTAAATGGAGAAATCTTTGGCTTTCGTTTCAACTTGTTATCATACTAGAGTTGGATTGAGAAATCTCCAACATCTGGAATTTTTTTCTTTCTGAAATTTACTTTAGTTGCTAAATACTTTTCATTTATCTGCTTCTTATATTCTCGCATAACAATTTATTTTCCCGCTTTTACATATTTGAGTTTCTCGTGACCTAGACCCAAAATAAGGGTCTTGGGTTAAGATAGAGCTTTATCAGTCTGAAAACAAGGGCCTGTTTGGGTCTGAAAAAGATTGAAATGAAATTATCAGAAATAAAAATTCAAAAAAGGCAATACATAAGTTGAGCTTGGCGTGGGCCATATTGGCCCATTTAGTGGTCCACATGAGCCCAGTCCTATATGAGCTAAGGCCACGAGACTTATTAATTTTTATAAATGGGCAAGCCCAACCCAACCCCTTCATTAAGTGGCCAACTCTAGACACGACCCGTTTGACACCTTTAGACACAATTTACTTTAAAAAAATTAATTAACTAATTCAATTATCCCTAAGTTTGTTCTTTAATGAGATGTTCTTAGTTTTGATGACTTTTTAATAATGCCTTAGACATGATGCACAGTAGAAGCCTCCACAATCCTCCATCCATGAAAACTTGAAAAGCTAAATTTCCAAAAGAGAAGAGGCTTGCGCAAGGATATGTGACATATGTGGCGCCATCCCAACCATCCAACGGTTAAGATTGGGATTTCGGTATGGCAAGTGTAATGTCTGTCTCTCTCCCTCGTGTACCTCTCTCTCTTCGACACAATCGTCTTTCTCCCTCAACAGTGGCTGTTCATCCAAGCGTAACTTCATCGTTGACATCCACGAGGTACTGTTCATAAACCTTTTCTTTGAAATTTGGGGTTTTTGTGAATTTGGTTTATGGTGTATGGATTTGTAAGAAATTGGTTTAGGGTTTTAGTGTTTAGGGGTTGCTCAGAAATTGGGTTTAGGTTTATGGGTCTTTGTTACAGAGGTAGATTTTTTTTGTGCCCAGAAGATTGTGACTTTGATGAAAATTCGTAAATGGAAAAGGCAGCTGCCCCTGCGGCTTGGAACCCTCAATTCGGAGGTATTATGCCCTGAATTTTTACAAAAGAAGAATTGGAATTACCCTATAGAAGGCAAAACAAAAAAATATAAGAGGAAAAAAGGAGAAAATTTATCTAATTTCCCTTTTTTTAGTTGTAGTTTTTTTTTTCTCGGTCATTTTGTATTGCTCATTGGGGGCAGGATGCAGGGTCGATCTAGTTGCTTTACATTGATGTAGTTCCAATATGTAAAGATGGAGGTTATATATATATATATATATATATATGTACATGATATAGAGTCAATTTCAGACCTTGTTAATGGTATTAGCCTGTTAGGCTTGTGGGAGATTCATTTTGTTTTCTTTCATTTTCTATAAATGATTCTGATTATTTACAACGTTGGACAGACTTCCCTACATCATTTTTGTTGTTGGTGTGGAGGAGGGGGACCCTATTTCGTTACAAGGTTTATTGATTGCATGCTTCCTTGTCCTGGAAGACCTCCTCAGTTTCGTTGAGCCGACAAACCTTATGAGGTTGAATGTGAAGTGTTACCTTGCATCTGCATGTTTCATCTTTTAACTTTCTTTTCATGTTTCACGCTGATGCTTGTAGTTATTTCTAGTTTTGCATACAGATTAGCAAATAGGCTATGCATTTATTGTTTAGTCATCTAATGATTTGATATCTAATATTTAGGCATGTGGGAATTTATAGATGTACCAATTATGCATACATATAGGTTTTGCGCTTGTATTAGGAAGTTAGATTCTTGTGGTTCCTCTTCAATGGCATGAATTTAAATTGTTGTGCTTCATGATTAGGGTCTGAAGAACAACCATGTAGTAAGAAAGTTGGAGAAGCGTCAACAGATTTGCACCCTTGACCAACATATTGAAGAGCAATTTGGTGGTGGTTGTTTGTTGGCTTGTATTATAGCATGGGTTCGTCCGAGTGCTTAACGGTGTTTATCATGTTTGCATCTCATGCCTTAACTGCCTCAGTTCTCTCGGGCAGCTATCAGATTGTTTGAAAATAATTGTCCACTTTTAATTTGTTGAAGACTCACCTTGTTATATGTTCATTGCCTTACATGGCACATAAACTATTTCCATTTTGAAGTTGAACTAATTTGTACACCTTCATATATAAACATAGTTGCTCTTTATGGACGTATAACAATTTACTTGTTTGAAACGACGTGTTCATTTCCACTGAATTCTACCCATTTTTGTATCCATTGTTGACATTTAGTCTCTGTGGTTTTCTTTGCAATTATGTGATATAGGTATATTTCATTTCTTGCACTGGGAATCTGTTAGTTGACTTAGTGAAGCATACAACTTTCTTAAGATTTCTCAAAGATACAAGCCAACAAACAACCACCACCAAATTGCTCTTAAATATGTTGGTCAAGGGTGCAAATCTGTTGACGCTTCTCCAACTTTCTTACTACATGGTTGTTCTTCAGACCCTAATCATGAAGCACAACAATTTAAATTCATGCCATTGAAGAGGAACCACAAGAATCTAACTTCCTAATACAAGCGCAAAACCTATATGTATGCATAATTGGTACATCTATAAATTCCCACATGCCTAAATATTAGATATCAAATCATTAGATGACTAAACAATAAATGCATAGCCTATTTGCTAATCTGTATGCAAAACTAGAAATAACTACAAGCATCAGCGTGAAACATGAAAAGAAAGTTAAAAGATGAAACATGCAGATGCAAGGTAACACTTCACATTCAACCTCATAAGGTTTGTCGGCTCAACGAAACTGAGGAGGTCTTCCAGGACAAGGAAGCATGCAATCAATAAACCTTGTAACGAAATAGGGTCCCCCTCCTCCACACCAACAACAAAAATGATGTAGGGAAGTCTGTCCAACGTTGTAAATAATCAGAATCATTTATAGAAAATGAAAGAAAACAAAATGAATCTCCCACGTGCCTAACAGGCTAATACCATTGACAAGGTCTGAAATTGACTCTATGTCATGTACATATATATATATATATATAAACTCCATCTTTACATATTGGATCTACATCAATGTAAACCAACTAGATCGACCTTGCATCCTGAACCCCAAAAAAAAAAAAAAAAGACCGAGAAAAAAAAAACTACAACTAAAAAAAGGGAAATTAGATAACTTTTCTCCTTTTTTCCTCTTATATATTTTTGTTTTGCCTTCTATAGGGTAATTCCAATTCTTCTTTTGTAAAAATTCAGGGCATAATACCTCCGAATTGAGGGTTCCAAGCCGCAGGGGCAGCTGCCTTTTCCATTTACGAATTTTCATCAAAGTCACAATCTTCTGAGCACAAAAAAAATCTACCTCTGTAACAAAGACCTACCTCTGCAACAAAGACCCATAAACCCAAACCCAATTTCTGAGCAACCCCTAAACACTAAAACCCTAAACCAATTTCTTACAAATCCATACACCATAAACCAAATTCACAAAAACCCCAAATTTCAAAGAAAAGGTTTATGAACAGTACCTCGTGGATGTCAACGATGAAGTTACGCTTGGAT